GAATTATGATACAGCACCTTATGTAGCTTCTGTAACACCTATAAAGGCATTTGATTACAGGCATCTATCATTGCAAACTCACACATGTCAGTTTTCTCAGTTCATAAGCAAAGCTAATCTATATACCTTTCATGATGGTCCAGGAATACTTTAAGACTATTTTGCTCAAACAGCGAGCAGCTCCACAGACAATGGGAGCCAGAGTTATCATTTCTAAATACAGTAGTGATATATCTAAACCTTAAATATGGTTCTTAAACGCAATTCTTATGCTATGAATGCAATCAGTCTGCTTTGGGCTTCCTGTGGTACATGCATAGTGTGTCTTGGGCCTGTTGTGGTGAAAATTACACCCCACAGGAATCCCAAATGCTTGACCATTGCAGCAATGTCATAAAGTATTACCTTATTTACAATTTACACTTATTTTATCTTAATTTAACACTAATTTTTACACTTACATTTTTCATTACTTTGACTTTTTTCTCCAAAAAATAGATTACTCGAAAAAAGTTGCATCAACTTTKCTTTTAGCCATTTGAAAGGATTTTTTCTGATTGCTTTGCCCACATACATTTTCTCATGTAGTAAAAATGACCAGATTCTTTGATGTTGACCAATYTGAAAGCAACTTTCATCAAGAGACACATGATCATTTTGAAAAAAACAAGCGTTTGTTATAAGTATACTGCAAGCTAGTCAAAGTTTTAAAACCATATTTGTACAACACAGTTTTTTTTTTGAATTCTTCTCGTTCCTACAGCTCTATCAATTATATCATTACTGACAGACACCAAAACTTGCTCAAAGTCCAAAATGAGTTTGAGAAAAATTGTTGGTTGTAAGCGTGGGTTCTTCTATAGGTTTTTCTATGGTATAAAATGCTTTTAAATTTTTATACAAACTTTGAGGTATTACTAATTGAGGGGAAAATAATTCTTGTGCTCTTTTAATTACCAGATGGCTTCTGAAAAAGAAACAGAAAATAAGACATATGATTTGTAGTGATTAAGCTGTGACGATTTTCTCTGTAAGGGACCAACTGCCTTTCCCAGCGTGGAAGTTTATAAATTATATAATACTTACAAATGGAGTTCTTGTGCCATATTTTGACCAAAATGTYACTTTGCAAGCCTGCTTGTGTCCTGTTCTCTGGTCAAATGAGTTGCACATATCAAAAGGCGGACAATACAGGTGAAGAGAGCATGCTGTGTCTGAATGGCTGGTGTTTTCCATACGATGCAGTCCRATGGAATCTTTGTTGGAGAAAAAGTTATCATCAAAAATTATGTTCAAGTACAATTAACTTTCATATCCAAGAAGGGTACAGTGCATGAATGTTTAAATTAAAATAAAAAAAGAAAAAAAAATCACTTCTGACATATAGAGAAAAGAAAAGAAAAACACAGTTATATATTGTCCTTTATTGTGAAGATCAAACAATTTATTTCATACCATTGATGTAGGTCACG